AGATGGTTTGATGAGACAGTTGGGTGTTGAGCACTCTAGTTTTTGTGCTCATTCCTTTTCTTTGGGATCTGTCGGCATGGCATTGCCATGTAAGGGTTTTATCATAGTGGTATGTAGTGGTTGCTGTGGGGAATATCGAAAGTGAGGCATACTATCTTGTTGTGATGGTGTTATCCTAAGGATGCTTGAAGGGAGATCGCTTGGCGGTAGCCTGTTGCGTCGGTAAGACGTGAGTTTGAGTTGTCATTCGAGGATGATGGTAGTAGAAACGTTATGGTGTGATGTTTAGTACTAATGAGCAGAATGGTTTCAGGTATGATCTGAGGATGGATTAGAGATTGTGACTTGTTTGTTGTGTGTTGTCAGATAGGTGGTGGGGTTGTGCGCTAGTCGAGGCGATTGTGGACTGTTTAACCTTTTATAGCCAGTGAGAACGATATTGCCAGATAGACACCTTTTTCTTTTGGCAAGTCAGTGGGTTGTGGTAACTTAAGTCATGGGTCTTATGTGCACGGTGATCGAGGCAGTATCGTTTAGGAAGGTAGAGATGGAATGGGTGGTATAGTGTCGTTTTATGGCTTTGAGGTTGTCATTGGGAGTAACTGATTCTAGGTAGAACGGGATGCGGTGTCCAACGTATTGTGATCGTCCCTAGTGTTAGTATGCTGTGAGCATTGGTGTTTTTATCTAATGGTCGTGTTGTGAGCTGTATCCTCGTACTTGACGAATGGGTGGTATGGATCTGATTAGTTTTGACTAGCATAGGTATCACAGTGTAGCATATGCGAGGTTCCGGTGTTAATAGTGTATGACGGTCCATTAGTGGTGAGATCGCCTAAATTTGAGTTGGTCGTTCCGTACGAGTATCCAGTTGATTCTTCTCTTTGTGTGTAAATAGTTCAGTTCATCTCAGGTGAGATTGGGTGTCCACGGTTGGACGATTGGTGAGTAGCGTGTGACAGGGTGTCAGGTGCAAGTCGTTAATCTCTTGTGAAAGCGGGGTTCATTACCCTTTCCATTTGTTCTAGTCCTGACAAGGACGTCGTTTGTCGTAAATTTTGTTCTCTATTTAGAAGTTGTGCACACTCGCGGATGGACAGACCTATGTATGGTTTGTTATGCGGTTAGAGTTCACCGGTAAAGGTTTGGTTATATTGGTCGACTCACTCCCATGGAGGGAGGTGAAGTCCTGGGTTTTAATAGTGCTTGTTATGATAGTGGTCTTGACCTGTGGCGTGTGAGGCACAAGTTACCGAATAGGGATTGTGTGTTTCCGGTGTCTGGTACTAGCGGTGATGGTTAGGGGATGTGTCGTGAACTATAAGTTCGAGGATGGTTAGGTGATGTGATATGAGTCATGTACTCGGATGTTTTAATAGATGTCTGATTTGAGCGGTGTCTTGAGGACAAGTGTCGATGTTGCCTTAGAACTACGTGATTAGAGAAATTGAATGTGGAATTTCGTTAAGGAATAATGGGAAAAATTGACTTTGGTTTTGAGATCTCAGGCATGAGATAGTCGCATTGTTTGTTTTGACAAGGTAGGAATTGAATCGAGTGATATTATGGAGTTGTTTACCTAGTATGGGTGTTATGAGGAGATTAGAGAGCTTGTAGGCTGGTCGATGATTATGGTGTTTAATGTCGTGTTGCTTTTAACTTGTTATGGGTTGTGTAATTAAGGCATGATTGTGATTTTTAGAGCAGGTATGTAACTGTATGGTTCTTGAGGTTACGTAGAGCAGTGGATGGATAGTGAGTAGATCTCATAGTTGTTTTGTGGATTGTGTGATAATGTGTTTGAGGTTTGGACCTGAGGACAGGAACGACGTCTATGTTGAGACCGGATCGATGATGAGAATGGTTTGGCCAACTATTTCTCCTGAATCAGTCCCTATGCAGCACGATGTCAGGTCAAAGGTCAACGATTGTTTCGATTTGTCAGGGACAGTGAGAGCAAGGTATTGTGCGTGTATCAGTATGACAGTGTGAATTCGAGTGATTTGTCTTGGGTGACGAGGTGTGATAGGTAGGACCAAGTGTTCGATAAAGGTTTGTGGTGTGACCACTTGATTATCGATGATCTTGTTTTGAGGATTTGTGTCGTGGGTACAGGATAGTACACTTTATTGATTGGTAACTCATGTTTATGTAGTTGTTGGGAGAATTGTAGTTTAGTCATCTTGAGGTTGTTAAGTTTAATGTTTGTTAATAGTGCGGTTAGTAGTCGCTAGTGCAGTTATGCGATGGTGTAGCTATGCGGTAGGTAGCAAGTGTTTGGTCCGACAGGGATGTATAGATTTGAGTTTGAGCTCGATTGTGTGATGGAGTCTAGATTGGATGTTGTCGTGTTAGTGGTCTTCTGACAGTACTTCTTTGGGCTTTGAAGTCTTACGTGGCAGTATAGAGTGGACCGATGTCCGTTTTGAGTTGGGTGTAGAATCCAGTTGGTTTTGTGTTAAAATGCAGTGAGTGATAAGTACCCTCATAGGGTGGTGAACATTGTGTTTTAGTGGCAGTGGTGTGTGATTGCATGTTGACATCCGGTGTCAAGGCAATAAGCTTGGTGAACTCGTAGTCCTGCGGTTTAGTGAGGTGTTGTTCGGGAAGGTGTGTGGTTGTGGGCTTCCTCCCTTAAGGAGGGTAGATTTCGAGAACGAAATTTCTTTATAGAGGGTAGATTGTAATATTTTCAATTTTTGCTATTTTTTATTTTCTAATTTTTTTTTTCATCTTTTCTCGTTTTGCATGCCGGACACCGTAAGGTGTGCCAGGTGTGTTTGAAAGTTGGTTAAGGCATTTTCTTGAATTCAGGGCTCTTGAAAAATGCACTAGTTGCCATTTCAGCATTTTTCCATTTTTCGGGTCGGGAGGTCCTAGGTAAGACCCACTACAGGAGTTGTTGAGTACGAGAATTTTTTTTTTCGAGTCCATTGCATATCATATATTATTATTTGATGTATTTTATGCGACTGTGTTTAAACATGTGTTGTAGTGGGTTTAGTGTATGTACATTTATATATATATATATATATATATATATATATATATATAATGACAAAGAAGGTTTTTTTTTATTTTTTTATTTTTGCCATGGGACCCACATATGCTTTTGGTCATTGTAATGACGACATGGTCATTACCAGACCATATTACTTCTTCCTTTTCTTGTGCAATTTCTTTCTTCCTCTCTGTATCAGTTTCTTTTTCTTTTTTCTTTCTCCATTATAAGCTTAGATACTTCATTTTTCTTTGGGAATTTGATCTTGCCACTTAAGGCAAAGTTGATGAGCGCGTCGAGATCTCTTCGTTTTGATCGGAGCAAGGTGCTGTTCGGCCACCATTTGGGATTTCAAATTTTGGGTTCAAATTAGGACTTTTCATCTTTATTGGGGGAGGGGTGTTCTAATCCATGACTTCTTTCATTTTGGTGAATTTCTCCCCTTTTATTTGAGTATAAGCATGCTTAACTTAATTGTTTTGCCTCTTTGAGGGTTTTGTGTTTAATTATGTTCTATATGACTAAATGACTGAAATTACTTGTTTCTTGGAACGATATGAAGAAGCATGCTAAATTGGAAATTTATTGTTGCATTTTATGTGTATAAATTGCTGAAATTTTATGTTTCTCAAAGTATGAAATGTTTCTACTATGTTCAATGAATTAGATTTGTATATCAGGGCATGTTATGATTAATTTCAAATGATGGAAATTATATATATTGGCATGATTGTATTAAGCATGATGCATTCATGCATTCCATTGGGAAAGAAAATGGGAAAATGTTTTGAAAAGTAAATGGAAATTACTTTGGGGAAAATGTTTTGAAAAATGTTTGCGAAAATCCGGACGCTTAGGAGGTGCCTAATGGTCTGCAGTGTTAGTGTGGTCTAGAGGGGACTAGGGAGAGACCATAGCATGGTTGAGCTACCTAGGCAGGATACGACGCCTTGGAGTTGCCTTATTGTCGTGGATAGTTAACCAATCCTCCTTTTGTGACGCCTTGGAATCGCCTTGGGTCGGATTGCACTAACGGTTAGAAAGGTGAAATGGTATTATTTCGGAAATGGGGAACGACATTTCATGGCATGGCATATATTGCACACTTGGTAGTCGGATGACTTGTGTATGTATTTGTTGATATTATTACTGTTTTACTTGTTTCCCGAGGCGTAATCCCGTTCATTTGTATTCTATTCCTTATGTGGGTTCATAGGATCGTAAAAGGTGTGTCTTAGACACTTCCTATTGAGCGGTTGGCTCACCCCATTACTTTAATATTTTCAGGACACGGGAAAGAGGTGGCGGATGACGATCCACCATAAGTTTAGACGTGATTGGAGTTCTATATTTTGCTATTTTTTGTATTAGAACTTTAATTTTTTGTAATTGTAATCTTGAATATTTTGTAAAACTTTATTATAATTTGTATAATGTTATAAGTTTTGGACTTTTAATTTTAGCTATATTTCATAGACTGTAATTTGATGTAATTAAAGTGCGTTCCTTGTAAAGGATTATGGGACTAGATAGTGGACTGGTGTTTCCATATTTGGATGAAATGGAGGAACGAGACTCTTTTATATATATGTGTTGATTTTGAGAATGTTATATATTATTTGCATTGTGCGTTGGGACATGATAAATTAGTTTTAAGGCCAAGTGAGGCCATTGCATTTTTTATGTATTTTAACAAATTGTATTAGGACTTTTTCTACAGAGGTCATGACGATTTATTTATTTAATTAATTAATTATTATTATTATTATTTTTTTTGGTTACCGTCGACCAGTATCTTTTTGGATTGTTGCAAGGAATACCAAATATTGACTCGTTACCGATGTAACGACCCTAGCTGATGCCATGAATTTTACAAAAAAATTCGGCATAACCTCCCCTAAAAATAGGCCTACCATACCCTGTTTAAATTCATTTTTAACCTATCATGGCTTAAATTCCGAATTCACGGCAACAGTATATGATCATACACAATCAAATAACACCGATAATTACTTTAACTAAAATTATCCTTCCCATTCATCAACAAGGTTACATGACAAAGTTTTGCAAAATATACATATATACCTTTATACTTTTAGTGCTTTGCAAAAATAATGGGAAATATACAAAAGACACAAAAGTGAGCTTCTAGTATCGCTTAAGCTTGAGGTGGGTTGTCGTCCACCGATTCTTTTCCAAGACCTGAAAAAAATGTATAAATAGTAGGTGACACTTAAGACACAAATCTTGTGTCCTTGTGAATTCAAGCAAAGCATAGGCCAATGGGAGATAGGGATCATACAACGTAGGGGATCAAATACAACATACAAGTCAATTCCAAGTATAAACAATACAATGCAATGAAATGACATGCAATGCATGTCAATGACACTCCCCATTTTCATTCTCAAAATCATCACTTTCAAACGTTAATACAGCCCGCCCTTTGGTAACCCCGCCGCGACACGAAAGGAGGATTGGCTAGTGTCCCTGACCCTTGGTAACCCCGCGGCGTCATTGTGGGGCCCAGCTAGCTCAACCACGCTAGGGCGACTCCCTAGTCCCCTCTAGGCTATATTAATCTCCGGCCCGTTGGTAACCCCGCAGCGACCGGGTTTCGCATAAAACCATTTTATCAAAAACACTTCCCTGAAATTCCCCATATTTATTTCAAGAACAATTTCTCCTATTTCATGCAAACCCAATGGTATGTGCATGTATATATGTTCCATACATTCAATGTCATGGCATTTAAAATTTTCCATCATAAAATTAAACATTCAACATGTTCAACATCTCCCAAGTAATTATTAACACATTAAGATACAACAAAATGCATTTAAGCATGTGCATGTATATATATATATGAGCTCAACATCATGAATTGAGAAATTTGGCGCAATTTAAATAAGCATACTCTCATACATCAATTTCAGCATGCTAGCACATAGTAAACATAGGAAATCAACAACTAAATATAATTTGCACATGAACCAACCATATTCAAGATCGTGAAAACCCTTTAGACATCATTAATACCATCATAGATATAATTAACTCTAAATTAAGCATATTTAATACAACATGGAGGTAAAATTCACAATAGAACAAGACTAGAGTGGATTAAGATGCCCCTACCTCAAAAGAGGCAAAACCCTAGAAATGGGTTTAAATTTTTGAGCTCCAAGGAAGGTAGCAAAACTGGAATTGCTGGTACTAGAACGTAGAGCTCGTCACACTCGTCGTTTTGCCTCAAACGGCACCTAAATCCGGCAAGTAATGAAGATGGAATCAAAGCTTGAAGATTGGAACCAAAAAAGAAAAAAAAAGGAGTTTCTGGACGAGAGAGATAACCTTACGGGAATGAGAAAAAAAAAATGAAAGCAAAGATGGTCTCATGACCATTTAAATGCTTGTGGGTCTTACTCATTAACTTTTCTTTTCTCTTTTTCTTTTTCATTTAAATTACACCACACACACTAATATATACAGACATCACAACCGAGCTTAGAATCTAAAGCCAAGGCGCTTGCCATATTCAATGACCGACCCAAGAAAAGTAAAAGTAAAAGTAAAAGTAAAATTAAGTAGAATTACTTTTAAAAATTTTTACCGAGCAGTGATACACATCTTAAAATAATTGAATACCTTTTAACTCTTGCAGTTTATCCACTGGTTCCACCACCTCATTTCCTCTCTTCTGCATCAACACCTTCTTGCTGCTGCCATGCCACCTCCAAGTTCCATAGCACATTATCCATTGGAGAACATTTACTTCCCTCATCAGCCAAACACTTCTTTGCTATCTCCACTTTTGAAACATTCAAGGTCTATCTAGCTTTGAATCTTATAGGGGACCAGAATCTAGTTAATGTCTAAGAATCCCTAGTGACAAACGTTTAATTCCATTTAAGAACTGGAGAGATTACTGCATGCTTATAATTGGAATCTATTTAACAAAACATTTTAGTCTTTAAAAACATCAAGAAATATCAGATTGTAATGGGAATATATGTATATATATATATATATTTTCATCAAATATTATATGATATCACATTCTGACTGCCATTTATCCACATGATGAATCTTGCAATCACCCTAAACAACCTTCGCTTACATGATTAACCTGTAACATTGTATGCATAAATAACCATTTTTTCGTTACATATTTGAGAATGATTTCTCCACCCGTCAACAACCTTCAGTTGCAATCAATGTCTGCTGGTTTATTCATTCATTCCACATTTTACTAACATTTTGGTGCACACTACAGAGTGTGAATTATTACCTGAACTCCGTGTTGTGGAGATATTGTCACAGCTGAAACTGGTGAGTGAATATAAGTAGGGGAGAGAGTGAAGCTATAGCGCTGCAGAATCATTGACAGAGCAATCTTCGCTTCATTCATTGCAAAGTTCATTCCTACACAAATTCGAGGTCCAAAACTGAAGGGAAGAAACGCGGCTGGGTTGTTATTGGTTGCCTTAGCAACCCCTTCAGAAAATCTCTCTGGTTTGAAAAGAAGCACATCTTCTCCCCATATTTGAGGGTCATGATGAAAAGCCAATGGAGGAATTTGCAGAACTGTATTGGCTGGAACAATGAACTTCCCCAATTTGACTTCGTGTTTAGCTTTTCTCACAGATGAAACCACTGGAGGATATAGTCTTAGAGACTCGTTGATGATCATGTTCATCTACATAAAGATGAAGAGGACACATTAGCAAATAATTCTTGAATTGGGTAATGTTCTTCACTGCAAACAAGAGTTGCAACAACTCGGGTACGTACCATTTTCAGCCTTCCAATGCCTTCTGAATTTGGATGTTCTTGGCCAAATAACTCTAGCACCTCCTGCCTCGCTTTCTCTTGCCAGTCTGTATGAATTGCTAGGAGAAGAACCGTCCATGTAAGCAACGTCGCTGTAGTTTCCTGTCCAGCAAGGTAAAATGTCTTGCATTCATCAACTACATCTTCTATTGTAATCCTGTGCTTCTCATCAGCATCATGATAAGCCTTCACAAGTAATCCAAGATAATCAGTCCCAAAGCTGTCTACTTCTCCAGTCATCTCCTCCTCTCGTTTCTTTATGATTCTTATAATGGAATATCGTATTCCTTGTTCAAGTTCATCTGATTCTGTATCGTCAGCTGTTTTTAAAATTTTACTGCAAAATTGGTTGAATGAGAAATCAAACTAGGGATGAGAAAGAAATCGCAATCTAGTTTTTGGTGGAGGGAAAATGTTCAAAGCTAGGAGTCTTTTCTGAGTAGTGCTGAAATAGATGTATGAGTCATTTATAGAATCATAGGTGATACTCCCATGTTATATTTGAAGCATAAACGACCTTCGTAGTTTATCTTTCTATAACGCAATCCTTAAACAAAGCATTGTGTGTAATGGATGCTCATTTCTAGCCATTCTTCTAAGGTCCGTTGAACGAATTAAGAATAAGGAATGAGGATAACAACTTAATAAGCATCATTCAAACTAGAAGAAAATTTTAGTGCTGAAGGAACGTGTAGTGCTACATTTCATGAGCTGTACTGATTATGCTACATTTCATGGGCAGTACTGATTGTGTTAACTGTTTACCATCCCATTCTTCTTTCTATTCCCTCAATCAAGGATTTTTTTTTTTGGTCATATATTTTGCTTCTATATGTTCAATCATAATGAAGGAATAAAATTTAGTTAGTCAAGTTTAAATAGCAGAGTTTTTGAAGTAAACTATGTAGTAGCTAGTCCCTTGTAGTTGAGGAAAATATATTTGGTTAATCTCGAGTGTGGAGTACTTCGAAAAAATGGTGATTAAGAGACATCGGAGAAGTCTTGTATGGCCAACTACAGATTTGAACAAAAATATGCAGTTGTTTTTGACAGTCATGCACCTTCAATTGATGAAAAGAAAAGCTTAAACTAATTTATCTTCCTGTAAAGTTTGTTCATAAATTGAATTAAGCATAGCCCAAAACATGAATGTATCTGGAGGATGACTTTACCTGAGGCCAGGAAGCCTAATTTTGAAAGCATTTCTGGTAGTTAAGATGGCCAACTTCAACACCATCTCGAAAATGTCCTTCCCTTCTGAATAGCTGCTCCCAAAAGCTGTTCTAGAAATCACTTCCGACGTTAAGATCCTCAACTCTTCATACACTTCCAACTCTTTTCCTTCATACTGTTTCCACCTTTCTAACATCATCTCCGCACTTGAAATCATATCTGGAATCATATTCTAGAAATTTCGTATAGTTATTAGAAAAACCCATCAACATTTTCTTCTAATTTTTCCTGTTCATGATTATTTCGCATTCAAATTGCTAAAGTATTGATCAACAGATGATAAAAAAAAGAAAAAAAAAACGAAGCTTACCTTCAACCTATCTGCATGGAAAGCATGATTGGCCAGTTTTCGTACTTTTGCCCATTTTTCGCCTTCTGAAAACACAAGACCGTCTCCTAATAGCTTCTTCACAAAGCCATCAGCATCCGTCTTTGCATAAGCTTTATCTTTATTGTTCAGTATATCTTTAGCCAATTCTGATTCTGTAACAACTATTCGGGCTTTTGGACCATACCAATTAAGATAATTCCTCCCTGGTAATTAATTAAAACAAACAAAATCATTTAAGTTTAATTTTTTTTTTTTTTTTAAAAGGATTTAGAAGATTCAGATATAGTCATAAATCAAAATAATGTTACCATAAATGTTGATCCATAAGTATATTTCGGGCAGAATTCTAGGAAATAAGTTATGGGATGATAATTCCATGGGTTTGCTGGTGGATTCCTTCCTCATTTTGAAGATTTCTTTTGTGTTTCCATGGATGAATCTGTAAGAAGGGCCATTGATTCCCTGTGACCGCAACGCGCGTTGTATGCGAATTGGAGTCCACCATACCTTGTGAAGGAACTTGAGGAGAATCAAGAGGATGACCAGACACACACAGCTTGAAAGAAAGACTAACAAAGTTCCCACATAACTCATATTGCTTTAAACTCCAAATCAACTCAACTTCCACACTCAGCCACTGGTTTCAACCTTTCTTGCTGTGATTGTGAGGAAGAAGATAAGATAAGAATCTTTGAGTGGAAGTAAGGACAAACTGAAATCAAAGTTTTGGCTCCACTTAAAAGGTCTGCCGTTGAAAAAAATCATAAAATACCAAAATTTCAAGCTACCACAGGCGAATGTATTCATTGCAATAGTTGCAATGATAATGTGGTGCAATAAACTGTTACAAACACTTTATCAAAATATATATATCAGTTTTTTGTTGTATTGTAGGTTCACTTTGCTTTGGTGGATTATTCATAGCCGTCCGTTATACCACATCATCACTGCAACGGTTGTAATGAATAATTTCTCGATTTGAATTTATTATTAATTTTTGAAATTGGATATAATATGTTGTAAATTCATTTTTAAAACTGAAATCCCCTACTGTTTTCTTCTAAAACTAACCCAATTTGTTAAGTTATTTTAAAAAGTAATTAGTTTTCAATTGGTTTTTGTTTCATGCAATTTGGGTTAGTATACTATTTTTTGTGAATTTTTAAAGAAAACATGTTTTTGCTGAGAAATTATATAAGTTTTGGACATCAATATCTTTGGATAATTTTATTCTATATCTACAGTTAGATTTTGAAGATGAGAATTTGAGAAATAAAAATAGACATATAAATGTTTCTCCTGAATTTTATTTTAGCAATAAAATGAAAAAATTGATTTTCAATGAATTTCTAAACACGAAGTGGTGTGAGAGAAAAATTGTTGTACAGAGAAATAGTTTATGGTTGCAACTGTGTAACCATAATTGGTTGTTATATTGTAGGTCTACTTTGCTTTGGTGAAGTATTTGTAATTATTTGTTACACCACATTATCAATGCATCATCATTCAAATCTCAATTCTTTCAACTCGGATAAACCTTCCATAAATTCCCCAACAAATGTACTCAAAATTTTAGTAACAAATAATAAGTGAAAGTATAATAATTTCAGTCCTAAATTCACAGTTTTCAATTTAGATTTCAGCATATGGAACAATTTTAGAATTTAACAGTGGTCGACTATTTTCATTCTAATTAAAATAGTTTTGACAACTTAAATTCATGGATCATATGTGAATAAATATTCTTGTAACTTTTTCAAATTTCTTGCAACTGAAATAACAAGTTTTAAAGAATTAAAAAGGGTGGGAAACCCATCTCTCTTTGGACTTATTGTGTTAGATTTGTAAATGAATAGAGTAAAATGATTCATTTCATCTTTTCATACATTTCGAAAAGTTGTTTCAATCCAACTATTAAATATATAGATTTCGTGACATAAGAGAAGAGGGAGCTTTCTTGATAACATTACTTAAATGAATAAATTAACCTATTCGCAACTTGGATTAACGGAATATGTTCGCTTTTTCAGTAAACAAATTAGACTTAAATGACATCACATTTTTTGTTCATTAAAGAGTCTAGGTATAAATAATCTCAATAATTTTGCTTATTAAACTTGTTCGTAAACAACAGTTTCATTAAGAAGTATGAAGATATTTATCGGTTTTTGTAACTCATTCTTTAATCAAAATTGGAGCTTAACGAGTTAAATGTGCCAAACAAACCAACCAAACTCTAATTAAACATCAAATTTCTCAATTTTAACCTAGGGTTGCGTTCGGATGTGTGGAATTATAGCCTTAGAATTGAAATTGGTGGAATTGAAGAAAATTTGGTTCAATTTTGTGAGTTACTTTTCTCCAATTCTACAAATTCTAAAGTTGAAGAGTTTAGCTCAATTAAATTTTTAATTTTTAGAAAAAATATGAATAACTTTTTTAAAATAATAATAATTATTATTATGAATTTCTTGAAATATCCCTTATTTATTGGCATAATTGAGGCATATGATCATATTAACATATTTTTTTTTTTTTTTTTTTTTTAAGTTTCAAATTGTATAATTGACATAACTATTATTATTATTATTATTATTATTATTATTATTATTATTATTTATACTAGTTGATATATATATATATATATATATATATATATATTTGTTGAATGGTTAAATAATGTTTATTCGTACTTGACAATTTTTTTGTTCTCAATTCAGTTAAACCTAAGCCAATACGATCTGTATAGATTGAAAATAGAAATCAACTCGAATTGTGGAAAGCTTTCATCTGAACATATCCAATTAGCAAAATATATGATTGGATCGAATTAATTCTTACAAATTGAGCTTTTCTAAACACCTCAATAATTTTTTTTTTTATTTATCACGACCGAATAGACTAATTATCAATTTATCAAACATGACTTCAAATATTTAAGTAATAAATTGTTAGAAATCTAAATATTTAATACACTTTATATGAAATTAATTTTTATTTATGAATACGTATATGAAATGTCGGATACGTATATGAAGTGTCAGACACGTATTCGAGGAGTGTCCATATCCGAAACGGGTGCGGCTCCTTCGTAAAAGTATCCATGTTTCCTAGTATTCAAGGAGTGTCCGTATCCAATAGAGTACGGCTCCTTCGTAAAAGTGTTTGTACTTCCTAGGTGAAGAGTAAACGAGTGTCTAGTTTAGGATTATATATATATGTGTGTGTGTATATATATATACATAATATTTGTATATATTATATTATTAATGGATCGGACTTTTTCGAATCTAGAGTATATCTGATTTTTGAGACTCTAAATTGTGAACAGAAATCATTCAATCTCTATGAATTTTTAAAATCATCCAATCTCTATGAATTTTTAATTTATGAATTCATTACCGAATTGATGAGTTAAAAAAATTAATTCAATCCGCATGAATTGAATTAAATCGGATTGAATTTCTGGATCAATTAAACACCGGTGCCATGAATTCGAATTGCACTCTCCTCTATTCTTCCTTTTATCATAGAAAGCAGGAGTAGATATTAGATGAGATGGACATGCTATGTCATAAATTACATCCACCAAGAAATTACATGATCATTGAATAGGTATACCAAGACATGTCATACTCGGCTCGTCCAACCTCTCAAAAAGAATGGTGAGGTTCGACCAAATTTTATTTTATTTTTCTTTTCTTTTCTTATTTTTTCAATCTTTTCTGTAGGCTAACCTACAACTAAACTAAGGCTCTTATTTTTCCTGCATCTATCCTTTTGCATTCTTCTAACTTTACAAATAATTTTCACATCCACGTGGTATGTTGGTTTGATTAAGACCATAAAGCCCTCGGTCACAACACTCTTAGAGGGAATTCCACGTTCGTTTTGGAAGAAGAGTGATATTTCTGAGCCATAATATATGTCAGTATATTCATTCGTGTCTGGCCTGAAGCAGCTCCAATGCATCCACCACGTCGTTCATGTTTGGGGCACTGCGTAGTGATTTTGGCAGCTCTCAGTGCTCCACCGACTGAGTATTATTGACCTTCGATACGAGGATACATCATACGGAGAGTTTTTTTGCCTTTGGTGGTCAGGTGAGGACTGAAGTCGACCAAACAGAGTTGCAGAGCACATAAACAAGGGTTTAGGGGTCTGCGACACGGTGATCCGGCAGCCGTGGCGATGGACGGATGCCGTTTGATTTTGATTTGGCTTTCCAATGATGGGAGCCTTACCATTGAATGAGACTTCTCCAGTTATCAGGGCACACATGAAATCCATATTTGCTTTGGATGAAAAGCCACATATTCACAGAAGAAAAACACAGGTGGGAATGGCTTTCTGGTTGGTTACGGCACAGAGGGAAAGTGTTTGGAGATTTGATGAAAGAAAAGGGATTTGTAAGCTCCTCCAGCACCATGAGCCGATGAACCATTGCCTATTGCCGATTTTCCATTTGATAAAATGCCAAAGAAAAGCTGATGAACCATTTGCCAATTTTCCGTTTGATGAAATGCTTGGCCAAATCCTCCATCACCATGAGCAAGTCTATTGAACTTTTAAGGTAATTAAGTCTTGACCCAGTTTACCCATGTGCGTTGCTTGTTATCTTCCAGTATAGAAGCCCATAAATGTCTAATAATACTTGTTTTGTTGGATGTCTCAATATTGGGGAGTCCAAGTTCCCCTTCAGATTTTGGTTTACAGATTGCAAACCCAAGTTATTTTAGCTCCATTTTTCTTGAGTTCGGTCCCTGTCCCACAAAAATCTTCTAAAAACACTGTTTAGATCATTGATGAGACCCTTAGGAAGAATAAAAATGGTAGACCAGAAAATGTGAATGCTCACTAAAACTGATTTGATTAATTGGAGTCCACTGCCCTTAGTCTTGAGGAAATGAGAGGCATTCCAAGATGCCTTATAGGTAGGTAAGTTCCCTCTTTCAAACCCGAGGGTGTATCATCACGGGAAAAAAAGGAAAAGCTTGTCACCAAAGGAAAGATTTATGGGTTAAAAAATGGCTTGTTCATTCCTACCCAACTTCGAGGTCCCAAGCTGAAGGGAAAAATATACTGCTGGGTTGTTCTTGGTTGCTTTAGCAACCCCTTCAGAAATCTCTCTGGTTGGATATGATGCACATTTTCTCCCCATATTTGAGGGTCATGAGGAAGTGCCAGTGTTGGAATATGTAGATTTATATTGTCTGGAAGAATGAACTTCCTCAATTTGATTTCATGTTTAACTTCTTTTCTATCAATCACCCAAGTATCTCCACTATAGAAACATTCAGGGTTCCTGTTTACTCACAATGTGTCACAATTAGCACAGACATGACAGGGGGTCTGTGCTCGTGATCCTTGGACAACTGTCAATGAGTTTGGCACGATCACGGCGTGTGCTGCCCATTATGCAGTTTGGTGACACAATTCCATGTGCACTAATGACGTTTGGAAAATATGTTGAACTCAATCCTGAAAGAGTTCAAAGAGTATTTTTCAGGAAAAAAATTGATAATTAGCTAGTTAAAGGTATAAGTACGGAACAAATTATCTGTTGGGATATTGTGACTAAAGTGTTCTATATTGACGCAATGTCGTTTTGGACAACAATAACACTTAGCCCCTGACATTAAGGTTGAGATGCTGATTAGCTAAATAACCTGTCTTAATAGACCAGCGGTGGATCAATTATTTAAGAGAGGAATTTTGATTGTCATTTAGAATTAGAAAAATTAAACAAAATTAATCTGAATCTTAAAAATTTTGATATTTGCCGCACTTTTTATTTTATTTTCTAATAAGACACCCTGGTGGTACAAGCACAAAGTTGACTCAAGCTCCTTTATATTCTCTCTCTTACAAGGGCAATAAGGCTTCCATTCCACTTTTATTAGTCCTTTTCTACTAGTGGCTATAAAAGTGAACTCTCTTCTATCTATAGAAAAGTACCGTTCTTTAGCTTGGAGCCTTGGTCATAACGCATTGTGGCTTCTTCACCATGTGCATACTCATAATGGATATAGGGAACAACAAAATACAATATATCACTCTCTGTTGGTTATTTATTTATTTATTTCATAAGCAAGCTTTTATTAAAACCAAATAAAACAACAACAGAGAGGAAACCCTCCCAATTACAAATATAATAATAATAATAATAATAATAAGAACACCCACTTCCAAAAGTTGGCAGGCAGGGCAATTAACATGAAAAAGCCCACAAAAGGAAAACAAGCCCAAACATGCAGATGAAGATCTCCCTTCCTAACCACATTGATCAAGAAATTAAAAACTAAATATTTCCATTAGATTGCAGATCAATGCCCAAAGTATCTGCCACATTCCATATGATTTGCCTTGCATACAACGGAGACATTGTCATGCAGTACAATCGGCCGTCTCTGTTGGTTATTTCAGTCACTTCACATTCTAATAACAACTCTAGTGTATACTACAGAGCATGGAGTATTACCGGAACCCCATGTTGCGGGCGAATTGTCACAACTACAACTGGTGAGTGAATATAAGTTGGGGAGAGGGTGAAGCTGTAGCGCTGCAGAATCATTGACAGAGCAATCTTCGTTTCGTTGATTGCAAAGTTCATTCCTACACAACTTCGAGGTCCCAAACCGAAGGGAATAAACAGTGCTTGGTTGTTGTTGGTAGCTTTAGCAACCCCTTCAGAAAATCTCTCTGGCTTGAAAAGGAGTGAATCTTCTCCCCATACTTGAGGGTCATGATAAAGTGCCAGTGTTGGCACATGCAGCTCTATATTGGCTGGAATGATGGACTTCCCCAATTTGACTTCATGTTTAATTTTTCTCGTTAATTGAGAAACTGGAGGATATATTCTTAGAGATTCATTGATGATCATGTTCATCTGCATAGAGAGAAGGACACATTAAAATTTAATGCTGAATCATGTATATGAATTTTGCAATTCAAGCAAGAATATTCAAATACCGTTTTTAGCCTTCCGAATTTGGCTGTTGTTTGCAAATAACTCTAGCACCTCCTCCCTCGCTTTCTCTTGCCAATCTGTATGGATTGCTAGAAGAAGAGCAGTCCATGCAAGTAAGGTCGTAGTAGTTTCGTGTCCAGCAATGTAAAAGTTCTTGCATTCGTCAACCACATCTTCTACTGTTATCCTATAGTTCTCATCAGCATCATGATTGGCCTTCCCTGGTAATCCAAGTAAATCAGTCCCGAAGTTTTCTACTTCTCCAGTCATTGTCTTCTCTCTTTGCTTTATAATCCTTATAATGGAATCTTGGATTCCTTGTTCAAGTTTATCTGATTCTATATCATCAGCAGTTCTGAAGAATTTACTGCACAAGTGGACAAATAAAAATTAAAATGAGGATGAGAAGGGCAATTAACTAAACTGGCTTGTTGTGGAGAATTTGTTTAAAGCTTGAATTCTATTGATACTCAAGACTAGAGCTGAAATAGATCACTTAGTCATTCATAATTCACAAGTGACACTCGTATGTGGACTTTTAAGAGAAACCACCTTCTTAGGGTATCTTTCTACAACATATTGCTAAAATAAAGCACAATGGAGTGACCTTTTGCTCTGCTCCTATAAAACGGGTTGAGCCAAGATGTTGAGGCCTTTCCAATCTTGTATTTGACTATACTATCCCATTTTTCATTGACTATCTCTTGCCATATGAGTTTGTATAGCATGTGTACATTGTGTGGAATTAAAGATAGTAAAAAACAAGGTTGAAAATTTAGTGATTCCAGTTTACAAGAGCAGAGTTCTTAAAGTTGAAGGAAAACTTGTGATCAATATCAGTTGTAGACTGAAGTTGAGACCATTAGTCAAAAACAAAAAACTTGAAAAAGTATTTGGACCCATGCAAAGTATCCTCATGCAATGCCTCTTTCTTGTACAGTAATCAACTTAATCTGAACCCAAAATTGATTTTACGTATGGATAAACTTACCTGATGCCAGGAAGCCTAATCTTGAAAGCGTTTCGAATATTTATCATAGACAACTTTATCAACATTTCGAATATGTCTTTCCCTTCTAAATAACTGCTTCCAAAGGCTGTTCTGGAAATCACTTCTGATGTTAATACCCTGAACTCTTCATACATATCCACCTCTTTTCCTTCATACTGTTTCAACCTTTCTAGCATCATCTCCACACTTGAAATCATTTCCAGAATCATATTCTATGCACATACCAATCTTCATATAATTATTAGTTACCCCTTAATTTTTCCATCTATAATTTAATATTAGTACACTCAAAACATTGGAAAAAAATTGATTAGAAGTAATGCTTCAGTAATCTATGTTTCAGTGACTAAACAAAAATAACAATAATTACTACAGAGCTTACCTTCAACCGATCTGCATGAAAAGCATGATTGGCTAGTTTCCGTAATTTTGTTCATTTTTGTCCTTCGGATACCAGAATACCATTTCCTAGTAGCTTCTTCAAAAAGCCTTCATTGTCCCTTTTCACATAAGCTCTATCTCTATTGTCCGTATCTCTTTAACAAATAACTGAGCTTTGGCACCATACCAACTGAGATAGATCTTACCTGAAACCAAAGTAAAATAAAACAAAATAACTAGTTAATTAATTAGTTCATTTGGATGGATGGACAACCTAGGATTCAGAAAGTCATAAAACTAAATAGTGTTACCATATGTGTTGATCCAAGAGTAAGTGTGTGGCTGAATTCTTGGAAATATGTGATGTGATAAATTCATAGCTCTAATCATTTTTTCCTTCCTCATGATTAAGGCCTCTTTGGTGTTCCCATGGATGAATTTGTAAGAAAGACCATTGATTCCGTGTGACCGCATCCTTTGTTGGATGCGAATTGGCACCCACAAAAATTTGTGAAGGAACGCGATGAGAGTTAAGAAAAGGAACAAGCACAGAGAGCTTGAAAGAAAGATTACTAAGGTTTCCACAGCACCCATATCGCTTTAGATTTCAAATCAACTGAACTGCGACATTTGTTACTGCTTTGAGTGTTGCTTGTTTTTCTTGTTCTGTGATCTTATCTATATGGGCCAGCATCTAATAGATTGAGGCCAATTGTTGATGTCACTAGCAATTAATTTATTTTGTTTTAAGTTGTATTCTTGAATGTGTTAATTAATAGTTTTATTAGCTCCACTTGATTTGACTTTAACTGTATGGTGTACAATTGATTGCTTGTTCTAGAAGAAGACAATTGTAGTTGTTCAGGATGTCATTAAAAATGAACTTAATGACATCCTCTGGTTTAGCAACCCTGACAGATGTTGACTTAGTACTCTCCTGCAAGTTACATATGTTGACTTAGTACTCTCCCTTGACTGTTTCTTACCAAATCCAGTAAATTTATTAGTCCAATAAATTATTAGGTACCCATATGAAATACATGATGTGAATGTAAGACCATAAGTTCTAGACCTAAAATACTCTAACCTTTGGAAACATCAAGAAAGATAAGATTGAATTGTATCTGAATTTGGCTTTCATTTATATTATAGGATATATACTGCCTTCTATACAGATGATGGTTCTTGCAGTCATTGTAAACACCCACACAACCTGTAACAATTTGCTGCACTAATAGCCAATTTTTCTTACTTTTACACCATTCAAAATTTCTTAACTGCAATCTCATTGTAATATAAGATATCACACTCTGTTGGTTGTTTCATTCACTTCACATTCTACTAACAAATCTAGTGCATACTACAGAGCATGGAGTATTACCAGAACCCCGTGTTGGGGGCGAACTGTCACAACTACAACTGGTGAGTGAACATAAGTAGGGGAGAGGGTGAAGCTGTAGCGCTGCGAAATCATTAATAGAGCAATCTTCGTTTTGTTGATTGCAAAGTTCATTCCTAAACAGTTTCGAGGTCCCAAACCAAAGGGAAGAAACACTGCTTGGTTGTTGTTAGTAGCTTTAGCAACCCCTTCGGAAAATCTCTCTGGTTTGAATAGCAGTGAGTGCATCTTCTCCCCATACTTGAGGGTCTTGACCCACTTTACTCATATGCTTTTTGCTTGTTATCTTCCAGTATAGCAGCCCATAAATGTCTAATCATACTTGTTTTGTTGGATGTCTCAATATTGGGGAGTCCAAGTTCCTTTTCAGATTTTGGTTTACAAATTGCAAATCCAAGTTATTTTAGCTCCATTTTTCTTGAGTTCAGTCCCTGTCCCACAAAAATCTTCTAAAAACACTGTTTAGATCATTGATGACACCCTTAGGAAGAATAAAAAATGGTAGACCAGAAAACTTGAATGCTCACTAAAACTGATTTGATTAATTGGAGTCCACCGGTCTTATTCTTGAGGAAATGAGAGGCATTCCAAGATGCCTTATAGGTAGGTAAGTTCCCTCTTTCGAACCTGAGCATAGCAAGAATGGGTTGTTCAGTAGTACGGTATGTGCCGTAGAAAAAAAAAAAATGGAGCTTTTAGAAAGGTTCATTGAGGGGCCTGAGAAAGAGACTGGAATTGGGTGAGGGCATTTCTAAGAGAGTTGACAGAGGATGTATCAGCACCGGGAAAAAAGGAAAGCTTATCGCCAAAGGAAAGATTTATGAGTTAAAAAATGGTTTGTTCATTGAGTGCAAAGTTCATTCCTACACAACTTCGAGGTCCCAAGCTGAAGGGAATAACATACTGCTGGGTTGTTATTGGTAGCTTTAGCAATCCCTTCGATGCACATTTTCTCCCCATATTTGAGGGTCATGAAGAAGTGCCAGTGTTGGAATATGCAGATTTATATTGTCTGGAAGAATGAACTTCCTCAATTCGATTTCATGTTTAACTTCTTTTCTATCAATCACCCAAGTATCTCCGCAATAGAAACATTCGGGGTTCCTGTTTACCCACAGTGTATCACAATTAGCACAGACATGGGAGGGGGTCTGTGCTAGTGATCCTTGGACAACTTTCAATGAGTTTGGCACGATCATGGTGTGTGCTGCCCATTATGCAGTTTGGTGACACACTTCTATGTGCACTAATGACGTTTGGAAAATATGTTGAACTCAATATTTAAAGAGTTCAAAGAGTATTTTATAGGAAAAAAATTGATAATTAGCTAGTTAAAGCTGTAGGTACAGAACAAATTATCTGTTGGGATATTGTGACTAAAGTGTTCTATATTGAGGCAGTGTTGTTTTGGACAACAATAACACTTAGCCCCTGACATTAAGGTTGAGATGCTGATTAGCTAAATCACGTGTCTTAATGGACCAGCGGTGGATCAAATATTTAAGAGAGGAATTTTGATTGTCATTTAGAATTAGAAAAATAAAACAAAATTAATCTGAATCTGGAAAATTTTGATATTTGCCGCACTTTTTATTTTATTTTCTAATATGACACCCTAGTGGTACAAGCACAAAGTTGACTCAAGCGCCTTTATATTCTCTCTCTTACAAGGGCAATAAGGATTCCATTCCACTTTTATTAGTCCTTTTCTACTAGTGGCTATAAAAGTGAACTCTCTTCTATCTACAGAAAAGAACCGTTCTTTAGCTTGGTCATGAGGCATGGTGGCTTCTTCACCATATGCATACTCATAATTGATATAGGGAACAACAAAATACAAGATATCACTCTGTGTTGGTTATTTATTTATTTATTTTATAAGCAAGCTTTTATTAAAACCAAATAAAACAACAGAGGGGAAACCCTCCCAATTACAAAAAAAAATAATAATAATAATAATGAGAACACCCACGTCCAATATTAATAATGAGAACACCCACTTCCAAAAGTTGGCAGGGAGGGCAATTAACATGAAAAAGCCCACAAAAGGAAAACTAGCCCAAACACGCAGAGGAAGATCTCCCTTCCTAACCACATAGATCAAGAAATTAAAAACTAAATATTTCCATCAGAGTGCAGATTAATTCCTAAGTATCTGCCACATTCCATATGATTTGCCTTGCACACAACAGAGACATTGTGATGCAGTACAATCGGCCGTCTCTGTTGGTTATTTCTTTCACTTCACATTCTACTAACAACTCTAGTGCATACTACAGAGCATGGAGTATTACTGGAACCCCATGTTGCGGGCGAATTGTCACAACTATGACTGGTGAGTGAATATAAGTTGGGGAGAGGGTGAAGCTGTAGTGCTGCAGAATCATTGACAGAGCAATCTTCGTTTCGTTGATTGCAAAGTTCATTCCTACACAATTTCGAGGTCCCAAACCGAAGGGAATAAACAGTGCTTGGTTGTTGTTGGTAGCTTTAGCAACCCCTTCAGAAAATCTCTCTGGTTTGAAAAGCAGTGCGTCTTCTCCCCATACTTGAGGGTCATGATGAAGTGCCAGTGTTGGCATATTCAGCTCTATATTGGCTGGAATAATGAACTTCCCCAATTTGACTTCATGTTTAGTTTTTCTTACAAATTGAGACACTGGAGGATATAGTCTTAGCGATTCATTGATGATCATGTTTGTCTGCATAGAGAAGAAGGACACATTAAAATTTAATGCTGAATCATATAGTATGAATTTTGCAATGCAAGCAAGAATATTCAAATACTGTTTTTAGCCTTCCAATGCCTTCCGAATTTGGTTGTTGTTTGCCAAATAACTCTATCACCTCTTGCCTCGCTTTCTCTTGCCAATCTGTGTGGATTGCTAGAAGAAGAGCAGTCCATGCAAGTAAGGTCGTAGTAGTTTCGTGTCCAGCAATGTAAAAGGTCTTGCATTCGTCAACCACATCTTCTACTGTTATCCTATAGTTCTCATCAGCATCATGATTGGCCTTCACTAGTAATCCAAGTAAATCAGTCCCGAAGTTATCTACTTCTCCAGTCATTGTCTTCTCTCTTTGCTTTATAATCCTTATAATGGAATCATGGATTCCTTGTTCAAGTTTATCTGATTCTATATCATCAGCAGTTCTGAAGAATTTACTGCACAAGTGGACAAATAAAAATTAAAATGAGGATGAGAAGGGCAATTAACCAATCTGGCTTCTTGTGGAGAATTTGTTCAAAGCTTGAATTCTATTGATACTCAAGACTAGAGCTGAAACAGATCATTTAGTCATTCATAATTCACAAGTGACACTCGTATGTGGACTTTTAAGAGAAACCACCTTCTTAGGGTATCTTTCTACAACATAATGCTAAAATAAAGCACAATGGAGTGACCTTTTGCTCTGCTCCTATAAAACAGGTTGAGCCAAGATGTTGAGGCCTTTCCAATCTTGTATTTGACTATACTATCCCATTTTTCATTGACTATCTCTTGCCATATGAGTTTGTATAGCATATGCACAATGTGTGGACTTAAAGATGGTAAAAAAAAGGTTGAAAATTTAGTGATTCCAGTTTACAAGAGCAGAGTTCTTAAAGTTGAAGGAAAACTTGTGATCAATATCAGTTGTAGATCAAAGTTGAGACCATTAGTCAAAAACAAAAAAGTATTTGGACCCATGTAAAGTATCCTCATGCAATGCCTCTTTCTTGTACAGAAATCAACTTAATCTGAACCCAAAATTGATTTTACGTATGGATAAACTTACCTGATGCCAGGAAGCCTAATCTTGAAAGCGTTTCGGATATTTATCATAGACAACTTTATCAACATTTCAAATATGTCTTTCCCTTCTAAATAACTGCTCCCAAAAGCTGTTCTGGAAATCACTTCTGATGTTAATAGCCTGAACTCTTCATACATATCCACCTCTTTTCCTTCATACTGTTTCAACCTTTCTAGCATCATATCCGCACTTGAAATCATTTCCGGAATCATATTCTATGCACACACCAATCTTCATATAATTATTAGTTACCCCTTAATTTTTCCTTCTAGAATTTAATATTAGTACACTCAAAACATTGGAAAAAAATTGATTAGAAGTAATGCTTCAGTAATCTATGTTTCAGTGACTCAACAACAATAACAATAATAACTACAGAGCTTACCTTCAACCGATCTGCATGGAAAGCATGATTGGCTAGTTTCCGTAATTTTGTCCATTTTTTTCCTTCTGATACCAGAATACCATTTCCTAGTAGCTTCTTCAAAAAGCCTTCAGTGTCTGTTTTCACATAAGCTCTATCTCTATTGTTCAGTAGCTCTTTAACAAATTCTGATTCCGTAACAAATAACTGAGCTTTGGCACCATACCAACTGAGATAGATCTTACCTGAAACCAAAGTAAAATAAAACAAAATAACTAGTTAATTAATTAGTTCATTTGGATGGATGGACTACCTTGGATTCAGAAAGTCATAAAACTAAATAGTGTTACCATATGTGTTGATCCAAGAGCAAATGTGAGGCTGAATTCTTGGAAATATGTGATGTGATAAATTCATAGGTCTAATCATTTTTTCCTTCCTCATGATTAAGGCCTCTTTGGTGTTCCCACGGATGAATTTGTAAGAAGGACCGTTGATTCCCTGTGACCGCATCCTGTGTTGGATTCGAATTGGCACCCACAAAAATTTGTGAAGGAACGTGATGAGAGTTAAGAAAAGGAACAGGCACAGAGAGCTTGAAAGAAAGACTACTAAGGTTTCCAAAGCACCCATATTTGCTTTAGAGTTCAAATCAACTGAACTGCTTCATTTGTTACTGCTTTAAGTGTTGCTTGTTTTATTTGTCATGAAGACCATAGGAATCTTTTTATTGGAACTCAGACAAACAAAAAAGAAAGTTTTTCTTGTTCTGTGATGTTAACTATATGGGTCAGCTTATAATAGATTGAGGCCAGTTGGTGTTTTTGTCTTGATAATGTCACTATCAATTATTTTATTTTGTTTTAAGTAGTATTCTTGCATGTGTTAATTAATAGTTTCATTAGCTCCACTTGATTTGACTTTAACTGTATGGTGTACAATTTCTTGCTTGTTCTAGAAGAAGACAATTGTAGTTGTTCAGGATGTCATTAAAAATGAACTTAATGACATCCTCTGGTTTAGCAACCCTTCACAGATCTCTCTGGTTTGATTTGAAGAACATTTTCTCCCCATATTTGAGGATCATGATAAAGTGCCAGTGTTGGAATATGAAGATTAACTTATTTTTCTATCTATTCCCCAATTCCATCAATTAGCCAACCACTTCTTTTTTTTTTTCATAAATGTTGATGTATAAAAAAGGAAAAAATAATTACAGGCGCACAGAGGGCATACCCTCAGAAAAGAATAAAATGATCAATTAAGATCATAAAAAACACGCAATGAAACTGATCAAACAATGATCTGCAAATTAAGTAAGATCGGAAATTGAAACACTATAGAGATCTAAAACACTATATAGATGACCATGAAGCCTTCTATTTCTCTCCTGCCAAATGCTCCATAGCCCAGCCACCATTACAGTATGTATCATTTTGCTTGATTGCTGAAAGAACCAATTCCAAAGTTCTTCAAAAGTAAAAATTTCAGAAAAATCAACATTCCATCCCATGATATCTGCTATCCACTTCCAAAAATTCCTAGCATAGGAGCATTCAACAAATAAACGATTCCTTGTATCACTCTCCTGTAAACAAATAGAGCACCTTGGAGCAAGCTGCACTTTCCGCCTTTGGAGATTAACCATTGTTGGCAACTTATTATGGAAGAGAAAAACACAATGAACAGACCACCTAGCCGAGCTTTACCCCAACACATCTTGTACCATAACACCTCTGGATGCATTACCCTACAACCCTTCCAAGCATTTTTAAAAGAAAATGAACCTCCATCCCAAGTATATTTATCTTCTCTGTCATGAATAACCAGTGTTTGAATATAATCTCTGATAGGATGAAAAATGGTGTCCTGCAAAATATGTAAATTCCAGCCTCCATTATCCATAAGGCTGGACAAAGAGGAATCCCAAGCAAAACCCAGTCTTCTAACAATACGGTGACCAAATTTCTGTAGTAAAGAATGACCTTCACACCATGGATCAGACAGTAGCTTGAAAATTTGCCCATTTCCAATTGAAAATTTAATATTAAGATGCATAAGATCCCTTACATTTATCAAATTTTTCCATAAGATAGAATGAGAGATCTTGGGGACTGCATTCCAGTAAGTAGATAGAGAAGAATATCTGTTTTTGAACCATGGAACCCAAATCCTATCTTTGCTAAGAATAAAATCCCAAGCTAATGTACATTGAGCTGCTTGTTGCACATCTATCAATTTTTGGATACCCAAACCTCCCTCAGCTTTAGGTCTGCACGTAACATCCCAACTTAAGAGGTGCATTTTCTTCAATGTGTCTCTGCTTCCCCAAATAAAGTCCCTGCACAGCTTTTGAATCTGAATGAGGACTGATATAGGCAATGTAAAAACACTGCACCAGTACAAACAAGTCGGAGTGATAACTGTCTTGATCAATTCAGTTTTCCCTGCTACTGAAAGCATACCATTGCACCAATCATTGATTTTATTTGAAATTTTATCCAATAAAACTGAACAATGTGGCTTCTTTAGACCTGTGGAACATAGAGGTATCCCCAAATATTTCAGAGGTAAGCATTCTTCCTTACATTGAAGCAGATTCAAAATAGATCTTCTTCTTCTCACCGTTTTAGAGAAAATTAAACTACTTTTGTGGTAGTTAATTTGTAACCCAGAAGCAGCTCCGAATATCTGAAAAATTTCTTGAAGAGTTCTAGCATTTGGAATAGAAGCCTTACAAGTTATAAGAAGATCATCTGCAAAGAAAGTATGACAGATAGTAGAATGTGCTTTCAATGCTGTATGTGACAAAGTAATCCTTCCCTGAGCAACTTCAGAATTCAATAACTGTGTAAATTGATCAGTGACCAATGTAAAAAGAAGGGGGGAGAGAGGACAGCCTTGTCTAAGCCCCTTTGTAGGTTGGATGAAGCCTGTTGGAGATCCATTCAGCAAGATAGAGTATCTAGTAGAAGCCAGAATTGTAGAGATCCATGTGATCCAAGTATTACTGAAACCAGCTGCAACCATAATCTTCAATAGAAAACTCCAAGAGACTGAGTCAAAAGCTTTGGAAATATCAGCCTTCAAAGCCATTGTAGGATGCTTGTTTGTAAATTCACTAATCATTTCATGCCACATAATAATAGCATCTTGAATCTTCCTCCCTTTTATAAAAGCATTTTGTTCTAATCCAACCAATTTAGGAAGAACCAGAGCAAGTCTAGCAGCTAAGATTTTTGAAATGATTTTGTAAATTAAATTGCATAAAGCTATGGGCCTGTAATCTTTGGGACTAGATGCATTTCCAGTTTTTGGAATCAAAGTAATGAATGAGCTACTAACCCCTAAAGGAAGCTTGCCTGTGAGAAAGAAATGATGGACAGCAGCGCAAACTTCTGAATGGACAGTAGACCAAAAGGTTTGGAAGAATCGAGCTGGGAAGCCATCTGGACCTGGGGCTTTATCTGGATTAAAATTCATCACCACTGTTTTGATTTCTTCATTAGTTATAGGAGTATCCAATATGAACTTGTCATCCATTGACAACTGATATCTAGCCCGAATATCAAAGGGATGATCACTTCCAGAACTTTGAAATAATCCCTGATAATAGTCCTCAAAGATCTTTCTAACCTCAGCTGGTTCAGAAGTGGAATGGCCAGTTGGTGTTGTAATAGTAGTAATGGCATTGAATTGATGATGTTTTTTCATCTTATGATAGAAAAAAGCAGAACATCTATCATTATCCTTCAACCACAAGATTCTAGATTTTTGAGAATATAGAATTTCTTGAGCAGACATAGCGTCTTGATATATGTCTCTAGCTTGTTGTTCCTTGACAAACAAATCGTCTGAAGGATTAGCTAACAGTTCCCCCTGCATATCTTCCAAGTTTTGGCTTGAGTTATCAACCCTCTGATGAATATCCCCAAATGAATTTTTATTCCAATCCCTAACAGCAGCTTTAACATTTCTTAACTTCTTAAGTAATGTATGAATTGGATTCCCAACAACTTCAGCGTCCCAGGCCTTCTTAATCACCTCTGCAATACCCTCTTGCAAACACCAGACCTTTAACATTTTGAATGGCTTTGGACCACTAGCAAATTGTCTGAATATGTTAATGATGACTCCATAGTGATCTGAGGAAGATGAAGCAGAATAAGCAATTTTTGTACCTGTAAATTGCTGAAGCCATGCATCATTAATGAAAACTCTATCTAGTTTGGCCAAAATTCTTCTGCTGTTGCATTGTCGATTACACCATGACCACTCTCCATTTGTAGCATGTAATTCCATCAAACCAACTTGTTGAAGGCAATTATTAAATTCATCTAAAATTTTTTGAGGAACCATTCGACCCCCTTGCTTATCTGAATGAAATCTAGTTGCATTCAATCTCCTACAACCAACCAAGGCCCTGTAACCATAGTATGGTGTGTAATCAATTGATCCCATAACCTTCTTCTACCTGCCACTGTGTTAGAGGCATACACAGGAGAACAGAAAACCTCTTCCCCAGTTTGAAGTATAGTAACTTTCAAAAGAATACATTGGTCCATTTCTAATAACTTTGTTACTGTAAACAGAAGAGGATCCCATCCTATCCAGAGCTTACCCAAAGAATGAGAATCATAATTATGAAGCCAACACCAATTTCTGTTAATTCTTTTGGAAATTGAATCAAATTTAGGCCTTCCCACCCTTGTTTCTTGCAAACAGACAAAATGAGCACCATTGGACTTAATCCACTGCCTAACCTCCTTTTGTCTTCTGGGCTTATTCAAGCCCCTCACGTTCCAAGATGATATCATTGAGAAGGAGGAGGATGGGATGCACCCCCTTTACTCCTAGTCACTCTGGGAGTGGCTGAAAAAGATTTCTTCTGAACATTAGGTTTCTGATTATCCTCTTGATGAACTACAGGCTTTGCAGTGTTAGCTAAATCCTTGATATCAGAATTGACAGCATTAACAGCGAGATCATGTTTGAGACCCCCTTTGACAGCTTTGACATCAGAATCACCCTTTAGGCCACCTTTGACTGCATTGACAGTAAAATCACTCTTGAGACCACCTTTGACAATACCAGCACTGCCAGTAAAACCACTACTACTTGGAGTCTTAGAGTCAGAGTTAACAACCCCCAAAAGATTTGGTGTAGTCTCAACAGCAGGACTTTCCAAACCACCACTACTTCTATCTTTGCCTTAGAAACATTCAGGGTTCCTATTTAATCACAATGTGTTACAATTAACAGAGACATGGCAGCGGGTCAGTGCTCGTGATCCTTGGCACGAGCATGGGTGTGTACTGCCCACTATGCAGTTTGTGATGACACACTTATAAGTGCACGAGTGACGATTTGAAAATATGTTGAGATACTGACCAGCTAATATCAACTGTCTTATAGACTAGTGGTTTAGTGGATCGATTCTTTAAGAGAAAGGAATTTTGTTTGTAATTTGGAATTAAAAAATTAACCAAATATAATCTGAATCTGGAAATTTTTGATATTTTCTAGTTTGAGACCCTGGTGGTACAAACACAATGTTGACCCAAGCCCCTTTATATTCTCTCTTTTTCGTGGAATTAAAGCTTCCATTCTACTGTTATAAGAGTCCAATCTGC